TATTAATGTGCTTCAGCCTCTCTAGTATATGATAAAAATAAAAAGGCTTTTTTTCATTGCAGAGACAAATGTTCATTTTCTGTAATTGCGCACTGGGTGTTTTGAATGCAATATAAAAAGCAAATATGCTCCTCTGGTGAGATGAGTAGAGGCTAAAAAAAAAAAGGCAAACCCAACATGATGTGTTTTGTATGGGAGGATAACAATTTTAAAAATATACACTCTGCTTCTAAAAATAGAATGAATTGATATGCAGGGTCTTCAAATTAAAGGTCAGAGGTGACAAACCGGGACAAAGGTCACGCAGCTCATTTTCAAGCAATCAGTTTCTAGTTTTTTCATGCTTGAACAAAAGCTTAATTATACAGAAAAGTGAGGACTGTAATATTTAACTAGTCAATTTTAAAAGAGAAAGAGAGGTAGTTTTACAAAACTCCCTATTTTCTTGAATGTAGCTCTATTATGGAATTATTTGTGCTACCGTTACTTATAAAAAAATGGGTCTGTCTTAAATTTAAGCATTTAAGTACATTTCTTAGGTTAACATCTAAAAATCTGCAATCTGTATTTAGTGTTAATACTTGAGAAATAAGAGGAGTGTGTAACCATTTTCTGCTTTGTCAGTGATTTTAGCAAAAAAAAAAAAAAATCTATCCTGATCATCCATACTGTTAATTTCAATAAAGTTAAACTGCAGGTCCATTCATTTTGGCTTTGTGCACATACTTATCATTTCTAGCAAACCACTTTACTTCCCCCAAGTCCTGTTTCCAGTTTACAGCATTATGTGTGTCAGTGTGCAGTAATTACACAGACCTAAAACCTGACTGTTGCGTTTGTATATGTATGTGATTATCATTTTATTATATGCAATGTCTAAGAATCAGGGTTTTTTAACAATTTAAAGAGATTCATTCAATGTTAATAATATCACATTTAGACTAAACAAAGCTTTCATAAATGTGCTAAAGGTATGTAACAAATATTCTATAGGTAACATTTGATACATATTTAGACCACATGTAGTAATGCAACACCCAAGGCTAACTCCCAGAAATTCAACTGTTAAAATTTGTAAACTCCCTAATAATTTTGTATCACACATTAAGTTTCTACTTTGCTTTCAGATTCTGTATCTCCTGTACCTACTTCAGCTACTGATGTGTGCATTGATTTTAAAGGTTTTCATCTTTTATTTTAGAGATTGTGAAATTTTAGTTATGTATCACTGATGTTGCTGTTTACTTTTTTTTTCCTGATTTAAATTAATGACCTATCTGCACTAAAGTTTATGAAAAAATGACCATTGCTTTACTTTATTTGTTTGGTTGTTTTAAACAGTGACTATTAGAAGGCATGACATTCAGGACTGATGTGCCCCGTGCTATCCATACTTCTAAGAAAGTGAATATTGGTGTTTAAAATATAGACACTTATCTGCTGTTTAACGTCTATAATGTTTGATTTGATTATTTTAATAGACAATATCCATATCAGTATTTGATAAGCGTGTTATAAACTACAAATGATAAAAAAACTCGAGTAGTGCTCCAAGTAATAATTCAGTGACAAAAAAACCCCAACCAAAATGAAGAAAGAAGATTCTGTGTTTTGTAAGTAAATAGCACATGCAAATAAAACAAAAATTCTGTGCAAAGGAAAAGATATGTGAAAGGTGTGTAAATTCCATCAAAACAAGTATTAATGTAAAACATCTCAGAAAAGAGATCTGAACAAACCAGTTCAGTTGTTATAAAAGCAAATAAAAATTATATAATAATATATTTTTAAAAATAAAACTTGTAGTGCCATCACTTTTGAGGGGATTATGTAACATCTGTATATTGAATGTGAACAATATGCATTCGATTTAGTGTAACCAGGATAATTGGAAAAAAATACACATTTTTCTTTGAAGATTTAAGTATTTAATTCAACTTGTCATAATATCTCGTTCTTAATTTGGCCTTTGACACGTATCTTTTCAGCACTTCATTTGGCATTGTTTTGTTTCCAAATAGTTATCAAGGGGGGAAATAAAATCTTATTTTCTATATCTAGTTTCTCACAGGAATAAGCAATTACAAAATAAATCAATTATCAAGTTCAGAAAAATATTTTGATCTATCTATGATTTGAGAATTGTGGCTTTTAAAGTTTTCTTCGTCACAAGGTACTGATACTAATTTATATAAAAATACAAAGAAAAATCCATCTGAAAACATAAAATAAAATCACAAGGTAGTTTTTTGTTTCCTTTGCTGTATAGCAATTCGATGTGTGGCAATTTCAACAAGCACCTGCTAACAGTAAACTGAGAACAAATTATTTTAAATATGAAGGAAGTAGAAAAACAATAGTCAAGGATAACGTGTTTAATTTTTAAATTGTGTATTTAAAAAATTCATCTTTGAATCACAAAATATTGTTTGAAACATTTGTTTTTCATTGTTTTTAATTAAATAGTTATGATAGTTTAATATATGTATATTCAAATGCAGACTATAAGAAATTGCAGATTTTACTAAATCAAATACACTAAATATGAGAATCATACATAAGTAACTTCAATCCTTAAAACAAAAGTATTCTTGTTCAGCATTTTCCTTTATTATGTATTATTAAAGTTTTTAAGTAAATAGATCCTAAATAGTTTTTAATGCTAAAACAATTGTCAATATAATAATAGCATTCAATTTTGAGGAGAAGCTCTGACCCTATAGTTGTCAGGCTTTCATTAGCTCACATTCAGATATGGTGGAGTTTATAACTCCTTTTTAATGCCCAAAAGAATCAGATTCATAACAGTGGTGGAAGCACATTTTACCTTTCCTCGTTCCTGTTCTCAGTCAAATGACATTCTTACACATAGTTAGAAGGTGCATAACTGGATGTTTGGTCTACAAAAATGTGTACTTCATTTCTTAAAAACTAAGATATGCACAGACTATATAGGGGAAAAAAATCATACCTGGGCTATTGGCTAGCTGTTTTATTTACTTGAAGCTGTAATTATCTTCCTTCAATCCAGTGACAAAAGTGGGTAAACTTACCAAAGAAAGACTAAATTTTAATTTGCTAGTTGTTCAATTAATTTTCTTAAGTCAGCGTTATTTAAATATTTTGTCATCTTGTAGACACTTGCTTTCATCTTCACTTGCTAGAAAAATAAAGGAATGGTATAAAAACAGAAGTATGGAAGAACAGCAAAGTAAATTATGGCTAGACTAAGAAGAAAATTGTGAGAGCTTTCAACTTTTCCCCCCCTGTTATTATATAAGGACATTGATACTTGAGTATACATTTTCAGGAAATCTTAATTTTTCTTATTTATGCATTTCAAACTAACTATATTTTACTGAATTAAATGAAAAGGGGAAAAAAAGAGTCTATACAATAAAACCATCTCAGCAAGACATCCATTATTTAGAACTGCACACTGAGGAATCCATGTAAAACAAGTTACTACACTCAGCTGTGGTGTTTGAAATCAAAATACTGTGTGCATAGTGCTTCTACTAGCAGTCAAGAACTGTAAATCAGAGTAAGATTAATTTTATCTGACTAGTATGTGTGTGTATGTATTTTAAAAGCTGATGTTTTATGCTCTATGCTTGGGTTCTGTACAAAGAGTTTTAAAATTTTGTGTATACGCTTGCAGCATTCATCCATTTAAGTCTTCACTCCTGATGATTTAACTAAAAGAGATCCTTTTAACATTGGAATGTTTTCCCCTATTCCTTCACTTGTTTGATATAAAATATAGTATTGGTGGTTTTGTTTTCTAGTTTTCCTGTGCTCTGATCATACTTACATTATCCAGCATTCCTTAAAAAAATACTGCTGGCTTTACTCTGTGGAAGAAATCACTCTCCTGGCTACCCCTGACTGTGAAAGAAACAGGCTTAACATCTGAATTTTTTTTTTTACTTACTTTTAGAGAAAAGTATATAACTTACTTAAATGGAGTAACTATATATGCCTGCTTTACTTTCTTCCAAGCGAATTGTATTTCTAAATCCTTTGGCAGCAAACTTACTTAAGCTAATGAATTCAAAACTATCCACAGCTCAGAGAATTCTTTTTTTATTTATATAAACTTGCTGTTATTTTTTACTGACCAATAAGTTGTCAAAAAATACACTACATAAGTTGTTCAGTAAGCTGAATTACAGAGTGTGCTACCTGTAAGGGAAGGTGATTACCTTTGTTGGGTGTTTGTCAGTGTGCCTTTAACCCATACTGCACTTTTCATTCCATTTCCTAGCCAGCAATATTTCCATATGGTGTTCTGTTGCATTATTTTTGTGCCTACTGCTATAGTATCCTTCCACATGGTATGAATGCCTAGTTATAATAAGGGTTGCTTTCAAAGGAAGGGACTTTTTCTCTAAAAACACATTGCTATCTAGTACAAAATTTCTAAGCAGCATTTATTTACTTACTTGCAGTTACAAAGTTCATGTAAATGCTGAGATAGTTTCAGAACTAAAATGCAAAAATATTTTTGTGCTTTGTACAGCATAAGGAGGCACAGGAGAGAGTTCACCATGAGCCATTTCAGAGCCCAAACCTGATTCCATTTAAATGGAATTTACCTCTTTCAGTAGGATGCAGCACAATACATGCCAAAATAGTTTCTCGTTTAAATTATCTGTTTAAATGAGTTTACAGAATTGAAATGCCCAGGCTTTTCTACACTAATATCCTTTAAGTCAATTTTTGGGCATCGTATCAGGAAGCTTTTTGTAATAACTATAAAAAAATTACATCTTTTTTCTGCTTAATAATCTGTTATATGTTTTTGACCCTCTAAAACATCTGATGCTTACAAATGTGTTATGAAATGGCAGTACTGGAAACAAGAATTACTTGAACTTGTGCTGTTTTCTGCTACAATTTTTAAGAACTGTACTTCCCTGCTTTTAGTTCCTGTACCACTCCCAAATACTTATTTTCAATCCCTTCATAAACCGAAGCAGGCTACATGCCAAAGCCAAGAACGGATCCTTTACTCTATGCTTGCATATTTCATTATGTTGCATAAATAATGCAAGTAAATCTGAAAGACACAAAAGCCACATAGCCACAGGTTGGCAGAACAAAGAAACAGATACAAGAGATTGGGCTTCAGTGCTTGAAGGTGTAAAAGCAGAGCTAGGTTTAATACATGGCAAAAGTCCACACAATTCCAGTGGAAAACTAAGTTAGTACAAAAGAAGAGGAACTGAATCAGCTTGCCAGTGTTGTTGGACTGAAAAGAAAGATTCTGCTACCCTGTCTTCTGATTTGTGTTGTTGGAAAGGATTGAGGATAACTAACTGTAGGGGAAGAGAAGTTAGAGAGAAATTTGGTTTTCATTTGACTTTGGTCATTCTTGTTCTTACTTTGCTCACTCCTAGTAGGATATCTAATTTATTTTTTTTTTTAATAAGAGAATAAGATAACTGTACAGATGTGCTTTTAAATTGAAAAGAAGACAAAACTCAGATTTCTCAGAGTAGAGAACTGGGCTTATATCTAAACAAAATATCATATATCAAAACCCCACCATTTTTGGTGGGGTTTAGTTAAGATAGGTTATTCAAAAAGACAGTAGAGGGTGACAAGAGGACAGGCTTGTGGCAGGTGAGTTTGTGCATGCTCTTATCCATCTTTCATTTGGTAAACAAACTGGGCAGCATAAGTAACAAACTTACTGCAAACCCAAGGTATTTTTCTTCATGCTTTCTGCCATCTGCAGTGCTTTTTTCTGCATTATATTTTTATTAGCATTCTATGAAATTAGCCAGGCCTTTCTCAACTAGACCAAAGGTACACCTTCCATGAAGTTTCAGTCGAGTCACACATCTGTATTTATATGATGGACTGGTTTTGTTCAGATTGAGACCTAGAATTTAATACCATTACTATGCAGTTTTATCACTGACATAATTGAAAGCATTTTCTTTTGATATTTATAAATTGGCATTGAGTTACAATTTAGACCATGAAAGAATCCTGTACAATTATTTTATTGGGGCTTTTCCCCTTAATCATATACAAGGTATGACTGGATTGCTTAATATGTACAATTTAAGTATAGTAAAGACAAGTTGCTAGTTCTTAGGTTACCTATTGCAATTAATTATTGATAAAGGAAACAAACACCTTCAAATATTCTGCAAATCTGTGTCTTTTCCCTCTGTTGTTATCAACTGCATAGTTTTCATAAGAAACCAATGAAAGGGTCTTTACTGGTGCTAGGGGAAGAAAAAAAAAAAAAGCAGTGGCTGATTTTTTATCTTACGCCTTGGTTATCTCATTGTGGTTCTGATGAGCTAGGTAAGTCTCAAAGAGTAAGTTTATAGGTCACTTCATAGAGTCAATGCCCTGGCATTCTTGGCCTCCCAATGAGCTGTTAAACTGGAGAAGTAGTAATTAAATATGGTACTCTGGTACAATGCACACGGTACTGACTCCAGCTCTCTGATTTTAGGTTCCTCAGAAGACGATGAGGTCATTCAAGAAGGTCTCCTCATGCTCAGGTCAGTCTTCTCTGTAGCATCTTACATGGCTGACTGTGTATCCTCCCTGGGGGGCGTTAGCCCTGTCAGCTGCAGCAGTTCTGTCCCGCTGACTTTGATGAACATAAGTATTGGGTGGGAGGGGGAAGACTCGTTAATTTCGTGCACAGGCTCCAGAGTTGTTCTTTGATGCAGTTTGAGTGTTCTGCTTCTGCAAGACAAATAAACAATTACGTAAGGAAAGTTTATTTACAGTAACCCCACCTCAGATACCTGTCGCAAGTTGTGGGAGCCCACGGGTTTGTATGAGCGCCGCACGACCACCACCGCAGCAGACGCACCAGTGGGCGCACACATCTCAGTCGCTAACATACCTACTTCTCGAGTTACTGTCGTGCCGCTGTCACGTTACCGCCACGCAGCCCCCTCCCATCGCGACGCCTCAGCAGTGCCGCCCATCTGCCCTTTCAGCCCCACTGCCTTTCCAGGCCCCAGCCCGTTCACCCCTCAGCCCTGGCACCCTCCGTGGCCGCCCGGGCCGCCGCATGCTCGAGCGGGGGCTCCCCGCGGAGGGCGCTGCGCGCCCGAGGGATACGCGCGTCCTCGGCTCCCGCACGGCGCCGGGAGACAGATAGCCTGGGGCGGGCGATGGCAGGGGCCGGGTGTTGCCTATGTGCTGCGGCGGGAAGAGCTGCCCCTGTCACCGCCGGGCTGGCGCAGGCGAGAGCGTCTGGGCAGTTGCCCGTCGGGGAGGATGCGGTCCCCGCTGGGGTACGCGCACCAAGCGCCGGTGCGGCTCTCACAGGTGAGGAGAGGGGCTGGAGCGAAAGCGCCCGAGGCACAAACCCGCCCGCTCATGGCCCTGCGCCTACCTCGCGGGAGGCGAAGCGGTGAGAGCGGGCCTTGCGGCCGGTGCCTCCGCGAGGGCCGGTACTCCTTGGGGGGCGTTAGCCCTGTCAGACGGTCTACCGCGACGACTGGCCAGAGCCTCCTTAAATCCGTCGGGCCACTATCAGTTGCAAATCCGCAGCTGAGAGACGGTAATGTACGTGAGACCACATCCTGTATCCGAGCGCTCCGCGTGAGTCCCTACCGCGTCCTCCTGCCCGCGGATCATGCGTGTGATCACAGCAATTCCCGGTATTTTGTAAGTCTCCCCAGCAAACCGCCAGCATTGCCAGCAGAGATCCACGGACGGCAGGGCGGACCTGCGAGACACTCACAGCCGCCGCGTTTCGTTTCAACAAAAAATGCTCGTAAAACTCGCGTTTGAAACCTCGCTCCAGCCGTCAGTTCGAGCAGCGCCGCCTGCAAACGGCGGCGCGATCCCTCGGCGAGGGCCGCCCGGTTCCCGTAAAGGAGCTGAGGCGGGCTCTGGGCAGCCCTGCGCGCCCACCTTAGGTGTGACGGGAGAAGAGCGCCGGGACAGCCAAAAAACTGTGCTCCAGCGGCGGGCGGGGGCGAAGGGAGAGAGGCCCCTGCTGCGCTCTGAAACGGCATTTCCCGAAAACAGCTGAGTGGTGCGAAGGGCGCCACTATAAAACCGGTAACTTCACATCCCGCAGTCGCACGTCGAGCAAATCCCGTCACTGGTAGACCTGAGCCGTGGGCAGCGCTCAGTTGAGTCGGCGCTGTGCTTTGTTTAAAAAAACAAACAAACAAAAAAAACACAAAAAAACCCAACAACAACAAAAAACCCAAACGCACACATGTTTTCTAATAATAATCCGCGGCATTAATACGGAGGGTAATAAACCCGGCCAAGGCAAAGCGGGAAGTTGGCAGTGTCTATAGCACGTCCGACCCTGCTCTCCCAAAGGCGCGGGAAGGCACACCGCCACGTCCCCGCCGGGAAAGAGCCGCATTTTCTGGAAGTGTGAAACAAAAGCCCAGGGACAAAGCCCGGCGCTATGGGAGGCTTAAGGGGAGAAACCGCAGTCTCTGGGGTGCTGACGGAGCGCGGCCGCTGGACACCCGAGCCCGGTGGGCGCCCGACTTTCACCCTCCAGGGCGCCCCGGCGGGCGAGGAGCGGAGGAAGCGGCTTCCTCTCCCTGCCCTCCCCCCGAGCGGCACAACCGCTGCCGGCAGGGAAGCCCGCCGGGCCCCTGGCAACCCCCGCCCTCGCCCGGGCGCTGCACGTCGGCGGAAAGGGAAGGCGGCTTTGGCGCCCACACTGTAGGTGAGAGGGTTTTGGCGGGAACAGCTCAGCACCGGCACGGAGTCCTGGCCGTAGGGAGCGGCGGGAAAGGCCCCCCTCGGCCCCCGCGCCAGGAAGAGCCGGTTTCGATAGAAACCGTGTAAGAAACACGACGGGCATCTCATTCCGTCCAACATCGGCGGGGCGGCGCCGAGCAGCCAAGCCCGGGCAGTGGAGGAGAGGGGGCAGGGGCGCCCCGGCGCCGTCCCTGCCCCTCCTGCCTGCCCGTCGGCGAGAAGCGCTGGCTGCGCTTTGAAATGGGAAGTGGTGGCAGCATCCCGAGTTCTGCTTTCAAGTGTAAAACACGCGTTTCGTTTCAAATGCACGCAGTTCCATCATTTGTTTGGATTTTGTGTTTTTTTTTTCTTTTTCCTATTTTGTTTTGGGTTTTTTAGGGTTTTTTTGTGTTTCTTGTTTGTTTGTTGGGGTTTTTTTTGAGGTGAAGGTCTTTCTTTCTTGGAGGGGGAGTGGTGGTTAGGGTTAGAAAGACAATTATTCCAGCTTCCTATAATTGTTTTTACCAAAATTAGTATCCATTTAGCGAAATGTAAAGATAGAAATATTTTTTAATAGATAAACTGTTACCATTAGACTAATTTTTCCACGAACTGGCTTATTCTGTAGGGGGTTTTTCCCTATTTGTCCTCTTTCCTCCTCTTCTTTGGGAATGAATTTTGGAAGGGTGTTCGTGGGTTGGGTTTTTTTTTTAAGTTTTCCCTTTTTTTTCCCCCCCTATCTTTCCCGGAGAGTTCTCAGCTGGCAACAGCTCTCTACCTTCCACAAAACTTGAAAGGCTGATGTCCCTTGCAGGAAATGAATGAGTCGATAACATCTGACACCAGTGACCAGTCCAGTGACCCCAACCTTAATTCCACTAATACTGGAGGCCTGAAAATCTCGGTAAAGACCCATTGCAAATCCCACCCCCCTCCATTTTACAAAATCTGCTCTTATTTTGCAACGTAAGAAATAATTTGCAACCAATATATTTACAGTCTTTTATTTATGTCGTTTTGTAGTCTTTATTCATCGAAGAACACATACTGATTTTTTCACTGAAATTTGCTAACAAGACATTTTGTCCATTTAATGAACTCCATCCACTCGTTTGTGTCTGTTTAACCAATATTCTAGCCTCTAAGGATTTTTTATACCAAATGTCGTTAAAATAAATCCATCTTTAAAAATAAATACCTTTAAAATGGCATTAAAGAGGATATTTTCTGTCTTTTCGAAGGGTAGAGAGATCTCGTATTTTATAAACGTGCCCTTGTGCCACAAGATATCTACTCTTGGGCATTTCAAATAAGTGGTGTAAACATTGTTTTCTTCCGGTAACCTTAATTTCATTTTTATAGCTGGTGTTTCACGTGGCTTAAAATCTCGTACATTTATATATTAGATACCGTCCCGGTCATAAGATCCAAGCATATAAAATTACTGATTTAATATTTTAACATAATCGCTATTGTAAGGGGGGAAGGGAGGTTATGAGCCAAAAGCAGCGGTATGTTGCACGAATGCGTAAGGCAGGTCAGTGTAGGAAGTCGACCTCACTGTTGAAATAACCTATAGGAAATTTACGGTTGACGACTGCAAAGGAATTTCGGGATTTAAAGCTTCTGCTCCACTTGCCAGGCTGCTTGTATTTGTACACTCTTGCCCACCCTCACTTCTTTCTTGCAAACGATCACACGGAGCCTGCAACTTGGTGTTTCACACAGAAATGAGGCGCTAGGGGGGGAATTGACGCTTTCCTGAAAGGCAACAAAAGGAGTAAACAGGCCCACGGGGGCAAAGGCGTTCCCCTTAATTGGGCAGACTGATCGACGCCACTTCCCAAACAACAGCAAGTGCTTTGCAAATGCATAAGTCCCTTGCATTCAGGTTCTGAACGGATCGGTTTGTTGCTTTGGCTTTTGTTTGTGTGTCCTTGGGATAAGACAGAATGCCGGGCGGGACGGAGTGGGCTAATAAGAAAGTCATTGAGGCCAGGTTTTAAATAGGTATGGGCAATGTTTTTAAGATATATATATAATACTGGATGTAAAGTGAGGTTATATGCGAGGAGGTGGTGATGAGGACAGAATACTGTCATCTGTACCTTTACACTAACGGAGATGAACAGATGGAAAATAAAACGAATTCTCACCTAATTAGTCTGTTTGTTTATTCTGACGTCTGTAAAAATATTTTAAGAGCATTTGGGGGTGAGTACAGCAACGGAAAGGCTAGAGGGCAGGGCGATAGCTGTGTACCTGTGAGCGCGGAAAGGGAGTGCCTTTGCAAGGGGCTGTGACCAAGCCCTTCACCCATCACACATTTCTTTTCCGAACTGGATTCCCTCTCCCGCTGGCAGTGAAGACTTAAAACAGCAGTCCCCCGGTCAGCGTTATTCCTCCCCTCTTTGTCTTCTTTCTCCAAGGGTTTTGTTTGTTTGTTTGTTTTTTCCGCCCTCCTCTTCTCCAGTAAATTCTTTTCTCTGACAGTCCTCTCCCAACTGCTGATTGAGGTTCAGTCCAATTCTGCTTGAAAACTAGTCTCTTATTTAGGAAGTCATTAATCACATCCCCTCCCCCGGAAAGAGATGGCGGAGAAACCTGTGAAGTACAATTCCTCGCCCCATCCCCCCTTCAGAAATGTTTTGAAACGCTAAACCTCCGCACATTCTGGGCCATATTAAGGTGATATCGCGTTTCCGGCGCGCTTTTAATTTGAATGCGAAATTAGTAACGATCCGGTTATACATCTGCCCACGTTTTGCGCAGAGGGTGACACAGATGCCTCCCAGCGTCCCCCGTCCGTGTCTGTACACACGTGTGTCCCTCATCCGTGAGCATCTCGCCTTCATGTGCGTACGCGGACCCCGCCCGCAGTGGGCACAGACACCCCCATAATCTCCTCTGCACGGCCGCCCCTACACGTAGCTGCTGTTCCGTGGGCTGTATCTAGAAACACACGGATCTTCCTATGGATTTGTGCATGCACGGGGGGGGGGGGGGGGGAAAAACCCCAAAAAAAAAC